GTCTTCAAATAAAACTGATGTCATCCAAAACTTTTTGTTAGACTTGTAAACCAAAGGATACGTTTTTACATTCTTGAAACATCGGGGATTTCGGTATTTTCCGATAACAAATAAGGGCAATTTCTCCGTCCCAGACGCATTTCCTCCAACTAGGACAGTCAAACGTTCCTTGCTCATTTTACCCCCTGTGCAGTTTTCATCCTTAAACATCATAGTCTTATTTGGAAGACATTTAAAAAATAAACCCATTCCATCAATATTGAAACCATAATTTTAACTGTATCCTTGAAATAAATTTGGTAACGTTTCATTTAAACACTGTTCACATACTTCAAGAGGGACAGCTTTAGCTTCTCCATGAAGAGTGCGAAAGACATTGTGCATGTGTTGCAAAAGAAGGGGCAAGATATCAGCTCCTAGGTTTTTTTTCTTGATTTAAAAGATAAAAAGAAATTGAGTTAAAGGGAGTAAAATTCGAGTAATCAAGAATAATTAACATGAAATTGAAGATAAAAGGGTCGGGACCTCATAAAAAAAATCGAGTTATAGTAATATTCGAGTTATAGCGAATTAACTGCATTTATGTTAGCTTTTTATATTACTTTTATATCTAGATTATTATTTGATATTATATGATCTCTTATAAATCACCAAAATAAGCTTTGTGTCACATTTCTGCATAATATTAATAATTTATACTAATTTACTTAATTTTAAATTTTGTCTCATAACTTGGTCCACAGAATTTTAATACTTAAATAACTAACCTTTTCATGGAAAGAATTTTTGAGTTTTAAATGATTTTTTTTTCTCCTTAAAATAATTTTTTTTTTTCAAATATAACATGCATTTTCATTAAAAAAAAATAATGAATGGAACATTAAATAATTCAAATAAAATAGATAGAAATTCTCTGAATTAAAATAATCTGTACAAACAATCAGCTGAAATAAATTCTTAGCTGTTTTTCACACTTATGGTTGCTAGTTTAGGTTTTAATATGTGAAATATTAAAACCTAAATTAGCAGCCATAAGTTACAAAAGTGGTTAAAATGCAAAATTCAAACTATGTTGTTATTAACAGCTAAATTTTTAAAGATTTCAAATTTAAATCTTTATCATTATAAAATTTAATATTTGTTATAAAATAATAGCAGCTAATTTTAGCAGAATTTTCAATTAAGAATATCAAATTTAAAAGTTTTAAAAATTTCGGCAAGAAATCAGAAGTGAAACAATGCCCAATATCTTGTTTTTTGCCTGTTTTACCGTGATCCACACACCACCATGGGTGAAAGTTGGAAAAAAGGCCAAGACTGAAAATTTTTTGACTGAAATACCTAACATACACAAATTAATAATAATTTAATTAATAATATAATATTTATTCATCTCTCTTTTGATAAAGTAACAACAGGACATAAGAAAGTAGACCAATAACGTAGACCTAAAAAATATTTTTAAGTAGTAGAGAATAAACCTAAAAAATATTTTTAAGGACAGAAGAAAAAAAAATTCTGATTCCCGTCTTCGAGTCAGTCTTGTTTCCGTCCGCGGACATTTTCGAAAGACGGAAGACTTGCACCCATGCACACCACTGAGATGTGCAAAATGATGTAAAAAGAACTGCAGTTGGGAGGCATAGTGCAGAACCATTTAAATTTATAAATGTAGAAAGGCTCGTATGTCGATAAGAACATCCTTTTCTCAATACATGACAAAAATATGACATAAAAAATAAATATATGCTACCTACTAAATCAAAATTACTTTAAAAACACTAGCATTTAATGAATAGTTGTAAAAATTTTAAATATCTTAATGTATCTCGTCCCCTAATTACAGCTTTTGAAACATATTTTTAGAATTATTAAATATTACTTTGTAAATGGATAAAACAGTTACATACAGGATATAAAAGTAAATGAAATAAGGAAAGGTAATGCAAATTATGTCTGACACACAAAGAAAAAAAAGAAAAGAAATTATAACTAGGCAACCTTGTAATCGTCAGCTAAAGTCATACACCAGTGTATTGCATTTTTGAGAAGAAAAAAAAATGTTTTATATTTAAAATTTCAATTCTTGTTAACTATTCGACCGATTCCATTAAAATTTGAAATTTTATAACTTACTATAACTACCTTAAAATTATGTAAAAAATTGCATGCCTAACAATTCTTAATTTTTCGACTATTATCAAATAAACAATAATATGCAATAAATAATTATTAAAAATTATTATGTGGAATTAATTATCTCTGCAAAAAGGAATTTAATAATTGTATGAAAAAATTTTTCCATTCACTTCAAGATATGGGAAAATATGCTGAAAAATAAAATTAATAATTAGAGGCCCTAACTTTTGCCTGCTCTTCTGACAAAACTCATCATCATCATCATAGTTGGCTAGACAGCCCAATGTGAGCCAATGCCTTCCTCTGAAGATTTCTCCATGACGACTTCCGATTTATCTTTGATCTTCAATTTTTTTCATTAATTGCGAGAAAATCAGACTCCACTGAGTCAGCCCATCTCAACCGCGGCCTTCCCCGCTTTCTTCTTCCAGTGGGTCTAAAAAGCAGTATTTTTTTTATTGTGTTGTCGTCACTCATTCGAATCACGTGGGCGATCCAATTCATTCTATTTATTTTTATGTATTTAATAATATCAGGTTGTTTATAAATCTTGTACAATTCAAAGTTAAATCTCCTTCTCCAGTTATTGTTTTCATTTACACCACCAAGTATACTCTGCAAAATCTTTCTCTCAAATATTGCGATACAATTTTCCTTCAATTTTGTCATTGTCCAAGCTTCAGAAGCGTATGTCAAGACTAGCTGGACAAGAGTTTTGTAGATTAAGAGCTTTGTTTTTCTAGAAAGAAACCTAGATTTAATAAATCTTCTCAGCCCATAGACAGCCCTATCTTCTGACAAAACTATTCTTTGCATATTGTGGTTGCCATTCTTATTTTGATGAATCCGGATTCCATTTATTGCTCATTTGAGAAAAATGTTAGAGTGACATTAACAATTCCTATTATTTTTGTAAGTGCTTGTTTCGCTATTTTTTGTTTTCGATGTATGTTTCCTTTTTTATAAATATTTGTGATTTTTTATACATTAAATATATTAACATAATAAATATTTAATGTTTACATCACAATTTAAATATGCAAAGCCTCTTTTTCCCACTGCACGTCACAGTCAGATAAAGCTGAGTTTAATCAATCTGACATGTAAATGCACTCGTCATGTGGTGACTAAGTAAAATAAAGTGGCTACCAAAAACAAATTACCATTATTCACCACCACCTCTTTTTTATTTAAAACACCATCCAAACCTGCTTCCTGGAAATGCATTCGCACAATGAGCATAAAAACAGTTACTTTTAATAACTTCTGTTTATTTGTTATCTAAAAGTAATATTTCCAAAAAAAAAAAAATTTACAATGTATGGTAATAATTAATATTGGTAATAAACTAAAAAACAGATAAGGATATTCCCGAATTCTTTAAGCCATGCCCATCCCATGATGTTTATGTACAAGTAGGTAGCCTTACAGTACTGTCTTTAAGCATAGGCATAAATTCCGACGGGCATAGCCACGCTGCCGCCCTTTGAGAATCTTGCTTTTGAAAAATTGTATTTTAAAAAGAAATGCATTGCTTTATTAATTTTACAAGAAATATATTATATTAAATAAATCTAATGAATGAAATATAATTGATTAGATAAATCTATTCTAATAAATGTGTAATCATTTTAATAATACATTAATTAAATTATGTAAGTACAGTACCAATAAATTAAGTATAAAAGCGAAAGAAAATTATTTCATGTCTCATGATTTTAAGTGCATTAGTTTAATACAGAGTTGATTGATTTAAACCAATGTAGTTTAAGCAGTATATATGGAAACAAAAGTTTCTTTTTTTTTTTTTAAATCTTTTAGTTAATAAAGTTTATTTTTTAACTTTAAAATTGAAAAAAATGAAATTTTTTTATACCTTTGAGTTAAATTATACATATTGCATTGCTAAAGTGAATCTGTCTAACTTTAAACTGAGTTCTCTTAAGGACTTAAGAAATAAAAAAAGGACAG